CTTCAAGAACGCCTTTGGATCTTCAAGAACACTTGAATTTTGTGGAGAGAATTCTCTAGAGCTCTTGAACTTGGAACTTGAATATGAATTGTGATTTTTCACCTTAGGGAGAGCCCTTATTTATAGGTGTTGGGAGATAGAGTCTTGGAAAAGAAGACTTCAATTTGATTGGTCCATAATTTCCAATATTTATCTCTTAATATTTATTTAAAGAGATAATTAGGAGAGAGTGTCTTGAAAAAGAAGACTGCAATCTGATTGGTCCATGAATTTCCACTTATTTATCTCTTTAATAATTATTAAAAGAAATAATTATTTATTTAATTCTCCCAAAATGACATGTGGCATTCTTTAATTGGCCTTCAAAATATACATGTGGCATTCTTTAATTGACCAACAATATATATTAAATAATCAATTAATTAACTATTTAATTTAGGAATTAAAATTTGATTAATTTCCCAAATAAAATAGAAAATTATTAAATTGATTTTAACATGGAATTTGACACTTGTCGCCATTTTATTGGCTCAAAATTTAATTTCCTACAGTGATGTTGGATTTTGGACCCAGCTCATTTGGTTTGGCCCGCTGTGAGAGCGAGTGTTAGAAGTTATGTTTGTCCCACATCCATTAGTTACTAAGTTTATTGTATATAAGTGTGAGTTAGGTACTCTCTTCCTTTGAGCTAACTTTTTGAGTTCTACACAGGCCATTTGTAAAAGTATATAATTGATACTTTTAATTTGGACTAGGAAAATGCACGTGCTACGCACGTGATATTATTGGTTTTTTTACTTAAAAACATTTTTATTATTATATTTTATTTAATAATGCAATATAATTTGTTTTCATTATTAACAAAAATTGTGTATTTTATGGTAAAATATAAAATTTAATACTATTAACAGAATTCTATGACAATTAAAATTAAATAAAAAATATTGGTTAAAAAATCTAAAATAAAATTAATATTTTTTGTGAAATTGAAAATGCTAAAGAAATCTATGTCGTCCTTGATTTTGATATTTAGTGATATCATCCTTAATGCTTAAAATAATGATCATTATTACTGTCAAAATAATATTTTTTTAATGTCTTCCTTTTGCGTCTTACTATTTGAAAAATACCTCGAATTTACTATAACTATAATTTGTAATTATCATTTGCTTATTGTTGATTGGAAGCTAGCACTATGGTTGAATGTTTCGTTCTCTATTATTTTGATTATAACTGTTGCAAATTCAATTATATTTGCATGTGTAATATTTCGTAGTATTTAGATATATATTTTGTCTCTGCATATAATGATGTAAGAGATATAAATATTCGAAAAATCTTTAAAGTCGAAATCATTTTAAAAAAAAATTACTTGAAAATTATTAATTGTTGTAACATTGGTTGATTGAAGGTACCTAATACTTATCTATATGTAGTGTCCAAAATAAAATATTGTTACATCTCCTAACATTGTCATGCATGCATTATCATTTTCGTTCATGGACTTTTAAGACTATCCAAAAAGTGAAAAATAAATAATTCTACATGCATGTTCACTAAATTGTACCTCTTTAATTTTTTTTAATTCTATAACAAAAAATATCTATAGTAAAATTTAATATTTGTAAATTAGAAATGGTACTTTCATTGGTGCATTATATATTTTGCACTTAGAAAATAAACCTTATTTTACTTATAAAACCTTAAAATAATATTCTCTCTTACATTCAAAAACTACATTTTCCATTAATTTTATTCAATTTTTTTATTTCTAATTTATATATTGTTTACATAATCTTAACGTCTTTATATCAACTAAAAGAAATTACATTATTGAATAGGTAAAAATAAAATAATCTTAAGATAAAGATAAAAAAAAGTAGAATGAAAAAAATATTGATTGAAAAAATGATTGTAACTATTAATATTTGTAACTCCCTAGGAGTTGTAACAAAATGACATTAGTAACCTTAGAAATTAATTATAGCTTATGAAATTTTCGAGAATTCAATCTTTTCAAGAAACAGCTTTCCCTTATAAGATAGTTATTTCAAAATTGAACTTCAATCCATTTTAATTATTCTAAGGATTTAAAATCCCATAGTAAAAAAAATGAGTTAAATTTATTTTTCTTAATTTAATTTAATTAAACAAAAAAAAAAAGTAGATTGTATATTTCATAAAATTTATATTTTTACTTATAAAAAAATGATTATTATCGTAGAAACTTATTACACATGATATCTACTACTTCAGTGTGTTTTTACTAAATTTTGAAAATGACAGTGCACATTCACGACCATTCAACTGAAATTAATATAAAAAAATATATCTTATATTAGAGTTGATAATAATGATATGTAACTCATTTTCTCACTTTTAATTAAACGACTAATACATTCTCAACGTTGAAAATAGACTATACTACAATCATTTATCACATATCAAATAATCATATATATGGCATTAAATTAGAATTATTAAATTGGTATGCATATAATTGATTAATGCATTGGATTCTTGTAGCTTGTGCTATTTTTGCTGTCTTGCCAATTGTTTGTTGTTTTCTTGTCAGGTATAACTTCATTCATTTTTTTATTTATTATTATTTTTTTTTTTCATTTGATGGTCCTAGAAAAAGCTCTTGCTGGGATTTTTGACTGTGAAAGGTGCATAAATATTTTTATATTTGATAAAAATTAATAGATAAATTTATTTGATATTTGATAAATATTAATTGATAGATAAATTTATTTGATATTTGATTAATATATTTAATTGATAAATAAATTTATTTGATATTTGAAACAATTTTAGTTGTATAGATAAATTTATTTGATATTTGATTAATAAATTTAATTGATAAATAAATTTATTTGATATTTGAAACAATTTTAGTTGTTTATATTATAAGGAGTAAATGTATTATTATTTGAAATAATTTATTTGTTTATATTATTTATTAGTAACAAAGTAACAGTATAAAATCACTTGTGGAGGAGTAAACGTATTTACTTGTGGAGGAGTAAATGTTATTAATATTATGAAATTACATTTATGTACTTAAAAGCTAGATTTGTAGAAGGTAATATGGGCACTTCAATTTTTTCAAGAAACAACTCATACTTTTAAGGGAGTTATAGAAAATAAACGAGAACATAACTGAAACAAAAGAGACAACTCAGACCTAACCCTAATGGGTAATTTTACCTATGAAACGAAAGCCTTATTAAGTACGTGAAACATAATTCATAAAATAAATCTGGCTCTGCTGCTTGATACGTTACATTGCACTTATTTCAAATTTTGGCATTTCGTTTTAGGGAAGTTTCAGTGTCTGCTGTTGTAGATGTAGCATATAGCAGTTTAAGTTGAAGATTGCTTAAGACGACCTGTAAGCTAATAAGCTGCTAGTTCCTAGTGTTTAACTGATTTGTATCAGTGTTATGAATGGTGGATGGCAGAAAATGGTGGCAGGGTGTAAGTCCGCCACAGTGGCCTGTGGCCTGGCCATCCTTCACAATTTTCTAATGGTGGACAGGCAGAAATCTGCATCGGCATACCGCCAATGCAGAAATATGATAGCATTGATTTGTATATTAGAAACTTTTCTCGAATTTCCTGTAAATCCTTGGGTTTCTTGGGCTATCTTGAGAGGTTTCAGAAAGGGAGGAAAGACTAGTTTTTCCATATTATCAGTTGCTAAGTAAATATGAAGTGCATAATTTGTTCTTTCTTGTTATTGTTTTATTTTGCAATTGCCACGTATGATATTCTCTTTTAGTAATGAATTACGTAACATTTTAGTTGCATACCACACATAGTCATATGGTGAACACCTTATTGATCGGGATGGTTTGGCTGTTTTGGCAGTGAAAAGTATCAGAAATTTGAATGGCATAGTATCGGGCCTTATCAAATTCATGCGGGAAAATCTGTCCCGATAGTCAAAGGAGGAGAGCAAACAAAAATGGAAGAGGGTGAATTTTATGCAATTGAGACTTTTGGATCCACAGGTGATATATTTTTTTTCTCTCTTTGGTCGGAGAATGAGAATTTTGTTGGTTCACTTGTGTTGTGGAGGTATATTATTCTTTTCCTTCCTTTTGTGTTATGTAGGGAAAGGATATGTCAGAGAAGACCTTGAATGCAGCCATTACATGAAGAACTTTGATGCCGGTCATGTCCCACTACGGTTGCCCAGAGCCAAACAACTTTTAGCTACTATTAATAAGAATTTCTCGACATTGGCTTTCTGCAGACGTTATCTAGACCGCATTGGGGAAACAAAGTATTTGATGGCACTAAAGAATTTGTGTGATGCTGGTATTGTTCAGGTATGTATTTTTCTATTAAAAAAAACAAATGCTTGGCTTAGACCGCATTTTTTATAAGCTCCGATACTTTCTGCGTATTCAAATTTTGAGGTAGTAGCATTTAATTGAAAATTCACGGCGTTGGTCATCTGTTAGCGCTTTTTTGTTAATGTCACGTTCAGGCTTTGAAGAAGAGTGTCAATCATACTGACATTGGCGTATAGAATACTTTCGAGCTTTTTTGTTTGGAGGCTTCATTGTTTTACATTTTTTTTATTGAATATGCCACTAAGTTTAATAATAATGCCAGAGTTATGCGAGTTCGTACATGAAATATTTGCTGCTAGGCTACAAACGCTGAGCATCATCATCTCATGTACTGTTCGCAAGAAGATAAATAGCCAGTAGTGTAGAGATTGCATGAAAATTCTTTTGAGGCTTACGGATGGATGGTGCCATTTATACAGGCCATCCGAAAGAATCCCCTATAAGTTTAGCTATAGAACAGATGCAACTTTAATCTTACATCTTACAGTCGATCTTAGTTCATTCCCATTCGAATACTTATGAACTGAAGACCTTGAAATTTGTCCAAACTTGGCAGCCATGCCCTCCTCTTTGTGATAATAAGGGCAGCTATGTTTCTCAATCCGAGCACACAATTTTGCTTCGCCCGACGTGCAAAGAAGTTGTGTCAAGAGGGGATGACTACTGATGAAGAGAAGTACGGGTGGCACGATTAGAAAATTACAAAAATTGGCTGTATAACATCGATTTAACTATATTAGGAAATCTGTTGAGATATTTAAGCACATTACTTCTTCCCTACACACTTACATCCAAGACTCCACAGTTTTGATATGTACTCTTACTATATTATTTGTGGTATGTATTTAATTGTTTTCATTTTAATTGTAAAAAAAAAAAACAGCAGTGAAATAATAAAAGAAAAAGACATTTAATTGGAGAGTTTGCGATTTTTTTTTTNTTTTTTTTTTTTGATACCAAGGTTCCAGGCTTGCGCCTGACTATTCCTCGAGGAAACAGTTCTCGGCCCCTCATAAACTACCTCCAGTTAAATCGCGGTGGCCAGACAATGGCTCCCAAGTTCCTAACACCCGAGTTTGCGATTTTTATTTGGGACCTTTAGTTGAACAAATTTTTTTTATCAGCCTTGATTTTCTACTTGGAGAGGAGAGCAATGAAAATTTATTATAAAGATTCGTTTTTGTATACATAGCATGAAAAATTCATTATATTTCATAGGTAGTTGTGGAGTTTTAGTCGCATTGTTTCATCAACTACAGTCTCTACATTTGAATTAGTTGTTGGAATGAGGATATGAGTGTTGGGATGAGACCATCATACAATTGGAAAGATTTTAAAGTATGTTTTTTTTTTTTTGAAGT